TGCCTCCCACACGCCCCCTACTGGGGATTGAGCCCACAACTCAGGCATGTGCCCTGACTGGGAATCGAACTGGCGACCTCCTGGTTCATGGGACAATGCTTGACCAACTGAGCTGCACCTTCCAGGCTCATAGTTTCCAATTATTTTCAGCATAAAGTCACACTCCTCATTGTGGCTTCCCTGTCCCCTCACATCTGGCCCCTGCCTGCCCTCTGACATGATCTCATGCTGAGCTCCCCTCACTGTTCACTGAAGCCTCTACTGCCCTCCTGCTTTCTGTTCCCTAAACACTCCTGTCCTCTCACCACAGTGCCTTTGCACAGATGGCCCCTCCTCCCAGGAGGCTCCTCCTCCAGCTTTTCCTATGACTGGTTCTTTCCCACCAGTCAGGCCTCTGCTCAAATATCACATTCTCAGGGAGGCTTCCTTCCCTGCCCACCCCAGCCAAGCAGACTGTCTCTGCCCTATAACTCTCTAGCACATGACCTAATTTCTTGCATTCATGGCACATATCCAAGTCTATAATTAACTTGTTTATGTGTTTATAAACATTGTCTGCTTTCACCTCCAGAATACAGGTTCCATCGTAGAGGAACCCCATTGGCTGGCTCACCACCGTCTTCCAGCACCTTTAACAGCGCTCTAGGTGGGTACTTGGTGAACCTTGGTTGATGAATGAATGCAGAATGAGATGAGGGAGCTGGCCACAGAGAGATGAAAGGTGCATTCAACAGGTTTAGGCAGAGATGAGCTGAGTGGGGGGCAGGTCCTCTTTGGAAGGCCAGTGACCTATGAGAAGGATCTCTCTCTGAGCCAGTGTCTGTCAACAACTATGACCTGGACCATCTCCTACAACTGTGATGACGTTCCAGATTCTTCCTGGTGTTGCCCCTCATCGACCCCTGTGCCCCATCACGACATCCTCAATGTCTAGGACTCAGCAGTGGGGAACCACCAGGGGGAGCCTGAGGATGCTGCTCAGAAGGCATGATAGCAAGCAACAAGAATAACATTGCCATTTAGGGAATGTAAATGCACCGAGGCGGTGTATTTATTAAGGACCCAGGCTCCAAAGCCAAACTCCAGGTTCAAGGCCTGACAACACCACGTTGTAGCTATGTGACCTTGGGTGAGTACCTTCTCCTCTCGGTGCCTCAGTCTCCTCACATGTAAAATGGGGATAACAATAGTACCCACCTTATAGAGTTGTTAAGAGGATTAAAGCACCTAAGAGAATTCTAGCAACAAAGTATTAGGCAACTGACATCGGTAACCACATTAAGTATGAGTGTTAGTACTAAGCATTATGTAGTTATTGAGCACTTACACGGAGTAGGAACAGTGCTAAGCATTTCATTACCTCATTTGGTTTTCACATAACCTGAAAAGGGGGGTCATAGTTATCCCCATTTGACAGGTCAATAGACTGAGGCTCACAGATGAACTGACTTGTCCAAGGTCCTCCAACTAGCAAATGGCAGAGTCACACTACAAATCTAGGTCTGCCTGCCTTCCAAATGCTTTTCAGTACATCTCACCGTGTCTCTAAAAGGCAGAGTTTTCCAGAATCCCTTTACCTGGGCAAGGCCAGGCTGCTTGTTGACGTTTTTTCCTCACCTTCCTGGCAGGGCCTCCCAGTCCCCGTGCCTCCTCTTGGCGAGGAGCTGGCTGGTTGGCTGGCATTTGTTTCTAGGTGGCATTTCAGGCAGCCACGCTCATTTTGCTTTCAATGCACAGAACTGGGAACTGAGTCAAATTGCAGAGAGGGTGGAGGTAGGGGGTTGGATTAATCAGAGCGTCCTTCTGCTTCCCGGATGTGTCAGTGTCGGCACCAGCCTGTGGTCTGACACCAACCATTCAGTGCTTAGAAAATCCATCCACCCCAGGTCAGAGCAGAGGCACCGGGAGACCTGTCTCGCTGCTCTTGCACGCCACCTCGAGGGCATTTCAGGTACTGCACCGCCAAACACCTGTGGTTCTCAACCTTCCTAACGCCGTGACCCTTTAATACAGTTCCTCATGTTGTGGTGACCCCCAACCATAAAATTATTTTCGTTGCTACTGCATAACTGTAATTTTGCTACTGTTATGAATCGTCATGTAAATATCTGATATGCAGGATGTATTTTCATTGTTCGCGACCCACAGGTTGAGAACCGCTAGGACCTGAAAACCAGCTGGGCCCGGCCCTAGCAGCCTTCTTCCCTGACACAGTGATGCCCTTCGTGGTCTGCTCCCTGGTACTCCAGCTACCGTTCCCAGAGCATCATGCTCACTCATACTGCCACACCTTTGCACGCGCCATTCCCTCTCTCTGGGATGGCCTCTCTTAGCTTGTCTACCAGGCAAAATCCTATTCATTCACATGCCAATTTTCAGCCCAAATACTCTCTCTTCCATGAAGTCTTCTTTTAAAAAACATCTTATATTTTAA